GGGAATTCTGGGAGTTGAAGTCCACAGGTCTTAAAGTTGCCAAGGTTGAGAAACACTGGAATAGAGTATAGTATAAACATTGTCATAGTATATTGTAATAGTAATTATCATAGTGATAGGATAGGATCGGATCAGATAGGATAGGAACAGGAGGAAGCCCTCACATATCACTTTTACACATTTGTTTGTGCAAAAGAAAACATCCCCCCAGCCTTTATAAAGAAACCACCGGTCCCGGGTCCAGTGCTTTTGCGTCTCTCTTGAGTCTGGGTCAATCTCACTGGGGACAGTTGAAAAAAGAACCCGTGACACCCCCATGCCACCGAAGGCGTTCCAGGATGGCGTTACGTTTGAATGAAAATAAGAAATGCCTCTCGGTCCCCTCGCAGCCTCTGAAAGCAGCTGATATAGGTATGAAACTAACACGCCTTTGACCTTCTCTTTTCCCCTGCTTATCCCTGAGGAAAGCCCTAGTAAGCTCCACTCAGCGCAAAGGGGCTTGTGGCTCTAAGCATGCACGGTGTGATGTTCTCAACCAATAATCGTTTTCGACAATTATTATGATTCGTGTGGAAGGGATGTTTCTTCATACTGCTTGTTTATGGCTCCATGCAACTCATCCACCTCCCTCCGTGTCCTTGGAAGGAACTGAAATGAACTCAAGAAACACACTGTGGCCTTTGGACAAGATGCTAGGAGCTTGATCATCGAGGCATTGGATAGGGAGGGGACCAGACCCTGCAGGAAGAAGAGAGACCTCCTGCTCGTGTGCATTGCACCACCCGTCTTCCACCAACGATCATAAGGCAGAGCTGCAAGTAAACAATGACAAATAAATCCATAATTAGATTTGTATCACAGAGTCGCAGAATGGAAAGTTGGAAAGGGAACTTGGAGATCATCTACAACAACCCCCTGCTGGGGCAGGAATCCACTACTACTGCTTCCCCAACTGATGGCCATCTAGTCTCTATCTCCTGCAAAGGACAGCCCACCATCTTTCAAAAACCTCTGCTCCATACAGGTAGTCCTCAACTTACGACCATTCATTTAGTGACCATTCAAAGTTACAACTGTGCTGGAAAAAGTGATTTATGACCGGTCTTCACGCTTACGACCATTGCAGCATCCCCGCAGTCATGTGATCAACGTTTGGGCACTTAGCAACGGCCATGTATTTATGACGGTTGCAACATCCTGGGGTCACGTGATCTCCATTGGCAATCTTCCCAGTGGGCTTCTGACAAACAAAGTCAATGGGGGAAGCCAGACTTGCTTAATAACTGCAACAAAAAAGGTCACAAAATTGGGCGCGACTCACTTAACAACCACATTGCTCGGTGACAAAAGTTGTTCCAGTCCCAATTGTGGTTGTAAGTTGAGGACTACCTGTAGCTGAATAGCTCTAAAATATCTTTTCCTTTCTTCTCTCTGGCCAATATTAAATCATTATGTAATGATTTACATAAAAAAAAAGCAGAGCTTCAATCAGATTATTGAGGCTACCCTCTTGACTTTTTTTACCACCCCTGAGAAAGTCTGTGTGAATCTTGTTCTAGTTAACGGGCCCTTCCTCTCCCCACACTTTAATGGGACATAAGTAATGACTAAATCAGGACCACAGAAGAGAGACAGACAGAGAAAAAAACCCAAAATCAGACCAACTTGGGGAGGGACTTTTTCCGGGCATCTTGTTCCTCCGAATCAGCATAGTCCTCCGAAATGGGTTTAAGCGATCCTTCTCGTTTTCCGTCTCTCAGAATCGGGACCAAGGTCTTCCAGTTCTTTCCAGAAACTGACACAATAATTAAGATTTAATGTTGTGTCCCATTTCTGTTCCTTTGTCCCCAAGCCTGTTTCCCCAGTGAGGCTCAGCAAGACCCTTCATCCATCCTTTAGTTGGGATTGTCCAGCTTCAGGAGATCAACCCCCAGACAAAAGTCTGCAAAAATCTTGATCTCTCCTTGGGGGTTGATCTCCTGAAGCTGGACAATCCCAACTGAAAGGACGCACAACGAACCTGGGCTACTGTCATCCCACACAATTCTTCAGACTCATCATTTCAAGAAGGGGAACCATGAAATTATTCAGTTGGAAGGGTCCCCAAGGGCCATGTAGTCCAACCCTCTGTGGTGTGCAGGAAAGTGCATTAAACCATCCATGAGAGGCAATCTCCTTTGGAGGTGGTCTTTTGGTGGTGGCCCAAGGAAAATGATTCGATGGATTCATTTAGTACTACAATGTGCTCTTCCTGGGGCGGCCCATGAAGATCACTCAGAAGACCTAGCAGGACCCAAATGTAATGGCATTGGCAGCGGTGGGCCTGCCTTAGTGTGCCATGTGACGCCACTGCTCTGTGAGCTGCACTGGTTACCAGTTGGCTTCTGGGTCCAACTCAAGGTGCTGGTGATCACCTATAAAGACCTGCATGGCGTTGGTATCTGAGGGACCTCCTGTCTCCAACAGTTTCTGCCTGTCCACCAAGATCAGGCAAATCTTTGGGTTCTTCAATTAAATAGGGTCATCTATCAGGACCCCACGAGGATGCATTCCCTGTCATGGAGACCCTGCCCTCTGGAATGATCTCCCTCCCTGCCCCCCCCCCGAAATCCAGATGGCTCCCACCCTGCTGATGTTTAGAAAGTCCCGGAAAAATTGACTGTTCTCCCAGATCATGGAACAGGGTAGATGTTGAGTCCCTGTCAAGGGTCTTTTTCTTTATATATAACTTTATTCAAGTTTTTAAGCCAAAAGAGAAAAACTAACAACAACTAATATTTAGAGAGAAGAAATAGATAAGAAAAAGACAAAGCTGAAAGTGCAGGGGGGGGGGGGAAGACATGGTCTAAGGCAGTGTTGTCCAAACTTGGCCACTTTCAGATGAATGGACTTCAACTCCCAGAATTCCCCAGCCAGCCATGCTGGCTGGGGAATTCTGGGAGTTGAAGTCCACTCATCTTAAAGTGGCCAAGTTTGGACAACACTGGTCTAAGATGACTGGAAGCCCCTTACTGACTTTTTGCATGAAACAGAAAAAATGGAAATTACAGTATGTGGTTCTGATGATTAGAAAAAAATAGATTATAGAAAAAATGTAAGTAATGCTGTAATCATAGAGTAAGAGATTAATTTACATTTCTGCTTATAACTGCTGTAAAAGAAAATTGGAAGTCACTTCAAGTGTCTTTTTCCAGACGCACATGATCTTTTCGTCTCCTTTTTTATTTGCTTTTTTAAAATATTAGCCTCCTAGAGTTACTCTGGAGTCAGCTGGCCTCAGATCTAATGAGTACATAAATATATTTATATCTCTTTATATTTTATTGCTGCTGTTGCTGTTACCACTTAGATTTTTCACTTTGGTTTTGGAAGCTCTCACACTGATTCCTTTATTTTACAGTATGCAACATTATTCTTACTATATTATTTTTAAACAAACTTATATAGCTGCCCGTCTGCCAGAAGGAATTCTGGGCGGCAAAGAGAATCAAAACACAATACATTAAAGAGTTTGGTTGGTGTATTGAAAAGAAAACAATTATCAACTGATTCGATTATCATGGTATTGCTCGAAGCCAGGACATCTGCTGGGGGGTCCGAAAAGTCAAGGCGGTGGCTGCAAATGTGCAGTTGAAGGCTCAGCTCTTTTACCGCGCAGGTAGAACAGGGGCAGGGCCCTGATCCTGCAGGCATGGCTGCCCTCCTGACTCTTTGGACCCCCCGCAGGTGCTTCTGGTTTGAACCAACTTGAGAAAGTAACAGAGCAATATAAAAATATAAAAATCGTGGTCGCCGTCAGCCTCAGACCGCTTCCCGGAAGGGTCTTCTGGAAGGCTAGTCTTTATGCTGACTAGCCTTTATCGCAGCCCCTTGCTCAGACAGGAATCCCCACCTGCCGTGAGGCCAATGCGAACTAGTCCCCTCCTCACCTCTGCCAGATTTGAAAGAAAAGCTGAGGTTTCGCTTCAGCTCTTCTGCGGATCCTCCCGGGTCTTCGTTGATGATGCTCAGGTTGGTATTCCAGGTGGACCAATTCACCTCGTCCACTCTGTTCAGCCACGCCAGAAGCATCAATGGAAAGATTACAATTTCCGTTTAGGGCTCATTGGAGCTGGGCGGCCAACAATTTTAAATAAATAATAATCATAAGATAAAAATATCACATCTTATCTCTGAAATGTTACAGGTAGTCCTTGCTTAATGACCACAATAGGGACTGGAAAGTTGGTTGTTAAACGGGGTGCTTGTTAAGTGATTCGGACCCGATTTTATGACCTTTTTTGCGGAGGTCGTTAAGTGAAAAACACGGTTCCCCACTGATTTTTCTTGCTGGAAGCCAGCTGGGAAGGTCACAAATGGCAATCACATGACCCCAGGATGCTGCAACCATCATAAATGCGAGTTGGTTGCCAAGCACCTGGATTGCGAACACATGACTACGGGGGTGCTGGGACAGTTGTAACTTCAGGCACCAGTCATAAGTCACCTTTTTTAGCACTGTTGTAACTTCAAACAGTCACTAAATGAATGGTTGTTAAGCGAGGACTACCTGTACTTCCAGAATTCATGAGAATCCCCCAAAATACCACTCTTCCATTTTATGATGTACGGACAGAACCACCAATTGAGGGGGACTGATTTTAACTTGGCCTTATTAGGGGCCTCCACAAGGGGGGCAAAAAGTCAAGACGGTGGCTGTCACCATGTAATTTCAGCCCCACCTCTTTTTTTACCCATGGGCACCCTCAACAGGCATACCAAATGTGCAGGGCTTAGATGGTGAGGTCGTGGCACCCACTTGAAGTTCTCCCCCAAGGATGCCCACCTCCAAAAATTAGAACTGCAATTACCGGAAGCACCAGCGGTAATCATCCTTGCCGTCTGGGGTTGTCCCCACCAAAACCCGCTTCCCAGACCGGAAAGAGTTGACAACGCAGTTCCAGTAGCTGTTCTCAATGTTTAAAATGGTGATGGCTCGCTGTGTGCAGAAACAAGAGGCAAGAGGTCAGCCCTTCGAGGTAGGCCAAACTTGGAAACCAAAGTCATGCAGGCTAGTGCTACTTTTATTATAAGGTTCCAGTAACAGAATTTTGCATGTCTGAATGCTCTTCCCCCCTTCCTTTGTCTTTGTGAGAACTAGGGAGGATCAAGTCTGAGATGCTTTCTCAGGTTACATTCCTGCCCTGGACTCAGATTTCTCTTATCTGACCATTGTCTCAGTAGCAGCTCTTCCTCCTGTCCCTCAAAGCCATTCTACATCAGGATCAAAAAGAAGGCACTATCGCCAAGAGTTAAAAGAAGACAAGAACAAAATGCTTTGCAGAAGGTTCTGTTCCACTATGACCCTTCGGCATGGAGGGGACCATGTACCAAGATTGGGGCCCTTGGAATCTGGGAGGGGGCAAGGTGCCAACCTTGTGGAAGAAACTGGATCCAAAAGATTTCTAACTCTCCCTGGAAAGCCAGTGGCTGATCCTGGAATCTGATGCAAACTAGACAGACACTATTGTATACCCTAAGTGATGATTCTTGCCTTAAAAATAAAGATTCTAGTCCTCCTGCTTGTAAAGGAACATGAAATAGAATTAGGAGGCTGCCAGGCTGGGCCACCCACCCATCTATCTCACCAGGCCTCCACTGGTTGGCACCAGTGTCCAAAAGGAGTGTTTTCCAGTCTTCCTAGAAATCCCCAGACACTGGAGATGTGCGTGACTATGTTCAAAGCAAGAACATCCTTGAGTCATCCTCCCCCTCACTGAAAACCCTTGACCCACAACTGCACCCCAAAACCTGAAACCGAGCCCTGGGGTAACCCACCTGGAGTTTCCAGATGCTTTTGCTCTCCTGCGCAATCTTGTTGACTGTTTCGCCCATGAGGGCGATGAGCATGTTCAGCAGCAGGATGTAGGTGAGGACAACGTAGGTCAACAAGAGGATGATGAAGATGGACTTGAAGTGGTAGTTCTCTGTGAACTCCAAGTCACCCATCCCAATGGTGAACTTGAAGAGCTCCAGACAGGTGGTGTAGAGGTTGTTGTAGGACGGGCGGGGCTTCACGGGACAGGGGCACATGTCGTGCACCTGGCTGATCTCTGGCCTCCCCTCGTTGTCCTCCTCGATGAGGGTCACCACAGCTGTCATGAACGGAAGCATTGTTGGGGTGGAAAAGAGGGTGCTTCCACAACAGCTGTGCAAGGGGGAATTGGGAGGGACCTTGAGGTCATCTAGGTCAGCCCTCTGCTTTATTATTTGATTAATAGCTTATTTTTATCCAGTCTACCCAAGGCAGCTCACAAAGGTCTCTCTCCTTGGATTTTTTTTCTTCCCAACAAACCTGAGAGGAGGCTGGATGGAGAGGGAGGGACTGACTCAGTGTCCCCTACGGAGTTTCCACAGCCATGTGGGGGAATTAGAACCCGAGTCTCCCCGCATTTAGCCTTACCCATTAACCACTGCACCCCCCTGTCTCTCTACTACAGCCCCTCTGACCAATAACCATCCAAGCCCTCTTTGAACTCCTTCAGTGACCTCACCCCTTCAAGGCCTGTTCCCTTGGTTAAGGATCCACACAGCCACTTGACGTTCCTCTTGACATCCACAGGCTCTGCTCCCACCCACTTGACCGCAAGCATCAGCATTTCACCTTGGCTTCCTTCCTTTCTCCACTGGGAAAAACATGGACAGAGTTCCCCCCCAGCTGCAGGAACGCTCCAACACCACAACCGATACCCCGCACAGCCGTGGCATGGCTTTAGCATCTTCCTCCTTCCTCTTCTCTCCCCCCTCCCCCCCACCGTGTCAGGCAGAGCCTTACCGGTTGAAAAGCCGAAGTGGAAGAGCAGGTAAACCACGATGAAGCGACCCAGGTCTCGTAGCATCATCTGTGAGGAGAGGAAGAAAGGGTCCTGGGTCTCTTTTAGGTGTGACAGATATGCGGGCAGAAAGGGGGGTGGAAAGACCCACGTGCCCAGCCGTAGCACCGGTCTGCAGCTCCTTAAACCAAACGCATTTGCATTTGGTTTAAGGAGCTGCAGACGGGTGCTGCGGCCGGGCACACGGGTCCCTCTAATCCCCGGGTGTGCGGGTCCTTCCAACGCCCTTTCTGCCCTTCTAATCTGAAGCACTGCACACCCCCACCCCTTGCACAGCCCTTTCAGGTCCAGACCCACCTTTTCGAGCATGACAGAATAAATGCCCATTTGCTGAAAACCACGGGTGTAATATAACAAGTTGGACCACCCCAGCGCCAGGGCGAAAACCATGAGCACCACGTAGTGTTCCTGCTTGCTGATATAAAGCACAGCGGAGCCCAGCAGGAGGACTGAATGGATGAAACTAAGAAAAGAACCGGGGAGAACGAGTTAGAGTCACAGACTGCATCTTGTGCAGCTTCAATCCAATGGGGCGAGGAGGGAGATCAAACCTCGTTTTTCTCCATGGGCGAAAGTCTCGGCTCTCTGATCGATCGCTTGGCATTTGAGACCCCCTGCGATCCTCAGTTGCCAAGATCTCAGGGGCTTACTGTCAGGTTCAGCCCAAGAAACTCCATGAGACGGTTCTGGGATTGCTCAGTTACTTTATTAGCTTGTACCTGCTAGACAGAATCTCGCCAGACTAACTCTAACTCCCAAAGTCTGCAACTAAACACTACGAATTGCTTAGGGTGGTGCCAGTCTCATCCTCTTTGCTTTCACACGCTCAGTCTGTGGGCTGAGGAGATGCTTCTCCCCATGGCCTTGAACCTCCTCATCCAAGTCCTCCATCACACTTACCCAGCAGTCACACCTTCCTGGGACCAATCATTTAGTTAAGACCCTCATGGGTAATTTATGTGGGTCAGGGTTGATTTTATTTATTCGTTTATTATTTATTAGCCCCATTGCTAGGCTGGCCACCCCCAAATGATTCTGGGCTGCTTCCCCCAATGAAAACACGATCATACGCAGAAGACACTACACAACGCAGTGCAAAGGGTGGGGTTCTTGGTTTGCTGTGAGCCTGGTTTTCTTCTAGCAGATGTTTCGTCCTGTCCGAACTTATCCAGGGCTAGTAGGACAAACTGTGATACATCAACAGCCAAGAAACCTTGCTTCCACACATCAAAGCACCGGTGATGTGGCAGATGAAATATTTAAAACAGAACCAAGCACAGAGAACACCCAGAATCTGACAGTTTAGCCACAAAAGCAACACTCATCATTAATTTAAAACCGGAGTGCTGTAGGAGCAATTCCTAATGCTCTATCCTAACTAATCACAGTAAAAAAGCCCTTCCGAAAAGCACCGTTTTAACCTGCTATTGGGAAGCCAACAGGAGAAGGCACGTCTTAAACTTTCCGTGGATAACTATTCCACAACAGAAACTACAACAGAAAGGGACTTCCTTCCAGCCTTCTAGTCTTCTGATTTCACAACCCTGGGAATTAATAGCAATTGTTCCCAAGTTGTTCACAACAGATGGGTCTACTCTATTTGAAGGAGGCAGCCCTGAAACCTTGGTGCCATTTTTGCACATGCATCAAGCTCCATTGGCCAAACTTGAGAATGAAATAATAATAAAATAGTAATAGTAATAGTAATAATAATAATAATAATAGTAGTAGTAGTAGTAGTAGTAGTAGTAGTAATAATTTCTATTTCAAATTTGTCACTGCCCATCTCATTACAGAGTGACTCTGGGCAGTTTACAGCAAAAACAGAATAAACATTAATTAAAATAGATAAATATTAACTAATTAATTAAATATACTACAATAACAAACTTCTTATATAATACTTCCAAGAGGCTGATGTTAATTAGGTGTTAAT